GAGGAAGCAGATAAGGCTTTTCAGAATATAAAAAATGCATTAGTATCTGCACCTGTCTTGGCTAGCCCAGATTTTTCTTTACCATTTGTAATACAATGCGATGCATCAGACACTGGTTTAGGTGGTGTGTTAACACAAAATCAAAATAATGTAGAAAAGGTTATAGCTTATGCTTCAAGAAGTTTGTCTAAAAGTGAAAGAAATTACAGCACAACTGAGAAGGAAACCTTAGCTTGTATTTTTGCCTGCGAGAAATTTCGTCCATATGTGGAAGGAGTTAAATTTACTCTAGTTAGTGATCATGCATCTCTTAAGTGGTTTTTTAAAATGAAAAATCCCACAGGCAGACTTGCTCGCTGGAGTGTTCGGCTCAGCCAGTTTGATTTTGACATTGCTTATATCAAAGGAGCATTGAATGTAATTCCTGACATTTTATCTCGTAGTCCAGTTGATTCACCCTTGGAAGACTCTGAGAAATTGAGTGTGTCTGAAGACATTTGTGTGATGAAAGAAAATTGCATTTCCTTAGATATTGATTTGACTAAATTAGATTCATTTTATGAGAACATTCGCACAAAAATTCTACATAAACCTGATGAGTATCCACAATGGTCTGTAAAAGAAGGTTATGTATACAAGTTAATCCCGTCAAAATTAGATATGGACTCTAACGTTTCTGAGTGGAAGTTGTTGGTTCCCAAGAGTCAAAGAAGACAAATAATATCTTCATGTCATGATCCTAGTACTGCTTCACATGCAGGTTACCACAAAACATATACTAGAGTTGCTCTTACGTACTATTGGCCAAAGATGAGGAGAGATATAACTCAATACGTGAAATCTTGCAAGATGTGCGCTTCACAAAAAGCACCTAATCACTCAAAATTTGGACTAATGGGTACTGAGCGTAGTGTACGTTTTCCATGGCAAGTGATAGCTGTAGATTTAATGGGACCTCTTCCCAGGAGCTCAAGTGGTTTTCAATATATTTTGGTAGTATCTGACTGGTTTACTAAATATCCTTTGATTTGTCCTTTAAGAAATGCTACTTCTAGCAGAATAATAAAATTTTTAGAAAATGATGTTTTCCTAGTTTATGGAGTGCCTCAGCACATAGTATGCGATAATGGCAGACAACTCATTAGTAAATCCATAAAAAAACTTGTTCAGGACTATGAGTCTACGTTTCGATATACGCCATATTACCATCCTCAGGCTAACTATGTAGAACGAGCAAACCGTACCATTTGTACAGCAGTCCGGAGTTATGTAAATGGAAATCATAAAACATGGGATAAAGAGTTGCCTAGAATAGCATATGCTATGAGAACTGCGGTACACGATGTGACAGGTTATAGCCCTGCCTTTTTGAATTTCGGACGTGAGGTTCCCTGTTCAGGAAAATATTATGGAAAAGGAGAGGTACAATTAGATACAACCAGTAGAGAGCGATGGGCTCAGAACTTGGGTAATTTATCTGACATTTTTAAGGATGTTCAAAATAAATTGAATTTATCATATAAGAGGAATGCTAAATATTATAATTTACGGAGAAGGGACATAGAATTTTTTGTAGGAGACAAGGTTTGGAAGAGGAACCGGGTCCTCTCAAATGCTGCTAACAGTTTTGCTCAAAAGTTAGCTCCACGCTACACTCTTTGTACGGTAGCAAAGAAAAAATCAAAACTAGTGTATGTTTTGAAGTACCAAGATGGCTCAGACGCCGGAACTTGGCATGTTCAGGATTTAAAACCATATCATGGATCACTTACTGATGTCTCCACAATCCATAGTGATGAGGAATCTGCATGTGACGATTAGTAGGAATCATGATCATGAAGAGGTTACTGAACACATCACGCAAGTGATTTGTACATACCATTGTAGATACAGGTTAAGGTAGATTGTAGGTTGAATTAAGCTTAGCCTCAATTCATAGATGATAGGAATTAGTAAATAGGAAAATTGAGCTCAATTTAATATTAAGAATTTTTTGTGTGTACATATAGATTCCGAGTATAAAAAATAGTCATCTTTCAATGCCTATTTTTTATATCCGAGGAAGGGGGTGAATGTAACATGAAGATTTGCCTTTTCATGTTCCATAGTGTGAATTCTGCAAATAGGTAATTGGGAAGCTTTGTAGAGATGCACTGCGTAACTCAATGATTTCTTTTCTAGGTTTTGAGGTACTGTACATTATTCCATCTTGTTAAATGTTTTCATTTTCAATGTCCATGACTGGATGACAGTTAGGTTATGTTAGTCCACTTCTTATCCAACCTTACACATTTGTCAGACGCCCATGAACATTGTTGTTTACATCATAGTCTCGTGGCAGTAGAAGACTGTTTGTCGCGTTTAGTGGCAGTGGCCTGTAATGGTGCAGGGATATTCGCAATGTTGTATCGACTGGTGAATCGACTAATGTATCGACTATCGTATCGACTATCGATGTCATGATCGATATTTAATATTTCTTTCAAGTTGCATCCCTGAATCTGACTTGAATCATATTATTTGGGTGGCTAGATTGACACTGCGCAGAGACGGATTTTGGTTTGTATTATTTTTTTTTGAATAGATCACAAGTGCTCTGATTGACGGAAACTTGTTATTTGAGCAATTTCCGTTTATTCATCCTTCTTGCTGATTCCTTCTCTTGCGAAAAGGTTTCATGTGCTGAAGCCAAAATGAAGCCCTTTTTGATTTTGACTCTCGTGCGATCAGGTCAGGTGGTGGACACCTACTTTTGTGTTAGGCCTTTCCGATAGGAAGATATCACGGCCTTATACAGGGGAGCAGGGGGTACAGACTAAGTGGATGATATGAACTCCATTTTCTGTTGACCACATGGCATGTTTCTGGACTTGAATTTTATCAATCAACACTGTTAACTGGATGGATCACTAAATATCAAATCTCATCAACTATGGGCATTTAGAAATCTTGAACTGTTTTCTGGACTTCACTGTTTGGACATCACGTGGACACTTTTTTCAATGGTTGAGGCACCTGAGGGATCTTCGTGCTTTGAAGCCTGAGTCACCAACACACTTGAAGGTGGAAGCAAGACCCTGGTGATTTCTTTTGTATGTCTCTGGGCATCTATAGGACCCGACAGCCTGGAATTTCTGGCAGAATCCTTGCTGCCAACAGTGCAAGTCCCTAGCAGCCCTTCTGGTTTAGATAGCCAGTGATCCTGACTTCTGACAGGAATTCCAGGGGAGTCCAGACTCCCGGTATGGTTGATTGATCCTTAATCCCTAGGATTTTGTTACTTTGGAGCCTGAACTCCCAGAGCCCAGTCAGATAGTGAGACGTCCTGGTCCAGCTTGGATGATAGGAAGAGCTTGCCCTGGTGGCAGCCTGTGGACCCGTCAGCCAGAGTTGCAGTGCAGAATCCAGTTGCCCTGGGATACACCAAGTGCCCAGGTCTCCAGGTGGTTGTGACTCCTGTCAACTGTGTGGGGATCCAGTTTTCCTAGCACACCTAACCCCTACCGCCGACTGAGGGAGGAGTGTCTTTGTTCATCCAGGTAGTGAGATCTATTGGACCACAGTTGGAATCTCATGGTTCAAAATCCAGAACTTGCAGCTAAGGTCAGAATATTCCATATATACTTTTTTCCCTGTCTGAGGACATTTAACATGTACTTTTTTCCCTGTCTTGAAGACATTTAACATACATATTTTTTCCCTGTCTTGAAGACATTTAACATACCATATTTTTTCACTGTCTGAGGACATTTAAATAGTTATTTTTCACTGTCTAATGTCATGAGATATTTGAACACTTGTCAATAACACATAACAGTCTAAGATCGGATTTTATATATAATAGAATTTTTGGGTCTGTTAGAGACTCTGTGAACCCAAAGTATAGGCCTATATGAAGGGAAATCAACCCTTGTACTGAGTTACAATCACAATACATATTTACCACCATTTGAATACCTATTGTTGGCATGTTAAGGTGAATAAATCAGTTAACAGTTATTTTGGCTTATATTTATATCTTGGATTTTTTTCTCAGTAATTCAGCTGTGAAAACTGAGTGGCGCCTGACAAAAGGATAACCCCACTAGTGAACAATAAAAAGAACTAACTCACGACCTGCTCCCAAACAAGCGAGCTGCCGTGCCTATAACAAATCAAAATCTCTTTCTTTTCCAAAACATCAAAAGAGTTGTTATAACCCTGTATATGGTTAGAATGGTCTTCTTCTCCATTTCTTCTCATTTCCAGTGTTGCCAACATACAATTATCATTATTTTGAACAGATGAACTGGTCATTCATATTGTTAACAAAATAATTTGTTTCCCAAATGAAGATAGAAAAATACTTTTCTGGTGAAAGTTGTTTGAATCGTATTTTGTTTAACGAGCACAGAATGATTTCCCACGAGAATGAAGTTTGCAGCATGAGCCATAGGCTACGGCTGTAACAGATAACAGTGACATTTTTTATCTATTCGTCTTGTAGCCATCTGAATTTCCTCTCAAGTAATGCTCATGAATCAGACAGTGCTGTTTATTGCTTGAAATTTGAGATTCCAGAAGCGATGAGATTTTTTTGAAATAATACAATGGAGTCATTGTGATATCAGATACAGAAATAATTTATGTATCTAACACAATAAAACATGAGCGTGTTATAGCCGTAGAAAAAAGATATTTTCTTTCAGAATATGAGAAAAAAATAGTAACTCTGTGAGCAAAATTAGGTTTCTGACGCCATTTCCACCATTTTGAAGAACGTTAGACATTGCTTGAATACGAAAAAATATACCTCACACACAGCTATCCTAATTCCCTCTGCTGCATTTGCAGTTTTCCTTTCTCTGTCATAAGCCAAGGACGGGAAGTTTCAATCACCCTGTACAAATAAATTGCTTGTCCAACGGTTCCTTTGTCACCCGGTAGACAATAAACATATCAAGTGTATAAACGATTGTGAAGAAATAAATGAGTAATGACTATATTAATTTTGCACTGACCTAGTCCGCCCATTTGCCTCATCATCTCCTCGAAATCGCCGCCGCCGCCGCCCATACCGCCCATGCCGCCCACGCCCTCGTCGCCCGAATCGTCCTCGTCCTGCCACTTGTTGAAGTCGCACTTCAGCCAGTGGTGCTTCGTCTTGTCCGAGGTGAGGGCCGGCCAATAGGCCTCCTCTTGATTTGCTTTGGCCAGGATTATTTCGATACACCTGTTTTACCGCACAACGAATACATGAGCATGAATAAATCGATTATAATGGGTAATTATCCTAATAAGTGCGGAAAATGATACTTTCCCGCACGCGAATTCTGTTGACCCAGAAGCGGAGCGGAGTTCGGGCAAGCAGTCGAGTGTGGAAAAACGTTACCACCGATACAAGGCCTGCATGCTCCGTGGGTGACGTCACTTAGTGAGGCCTAACCAGCGGCTCGAAACGACAAGCGCTTATAGCGCTATAAGGCGACCGCCAATTTCGATTTTAGTTTTAGATCATCATTGAGCCGATTTTGCTGTTTTTTGAAGGGCTTCCGGTTAAAAAAGGATGCCAGTCGTCAACTGAGCCCTTCTTCGCACCCCATTCGATTTTATTATGGAAAAACGAAGTTTTAAAGCAAAAACCAGGATAAAACACAAATATCCACCTACAGCAACCCATTCGAATTAAATATATTGGCAAAAATTATGGTGAAGGTAAACTTCACACCTACTTATACAGGGCCCGCAGAACATAAAATTATCGTGAGATTGATCGAAAGAAAATTGTGGAAAATGTATTTTATTTTGATTGACATGCCGTTTGTTACAATTACCTATATTTATCTTGGAGAATTCCTATTACCTGAAAAAATAACCAGTGTGTTTTCAATTTTCTGTTGGATTTTTCACCCAAGTGATTACACTTGAAACCGTAATTTTTAAGGGTAAAACTGCATTTATAATGCGATGGTTTTTTTTTTGAAATTTTTTTTCAGTACTCACGTATTTTTGTCTGATAAGAAAAAGTTCGAAATTTCGCCTTCTTTCTCCCCTTGTGTTGGGGCATTTGAAGCTACTTGCTCTTATTTTGTCATTGGACACTTTATATACTCATGATGTACTTCGATGGCACATTTTTATATAGAAAATTCAACAGGAAATATGATTTTTATGGCGGGTTTTTCATATTTAGTGAACAAGTATTCCAGATGACGACCATTTAATCAATAGTCAATCAAAATACGTGATGTCAAATGTCAATAGATTGCTTTCGAATGACATTACACACGCCATTATTTTGAATGATATTCTTCCTTCTTTTCACTAAATATGGATTAATCTCAAGAAAATCATATTTATAGTTGAATTATATATAAATTGTCCAATATGATGAAAAAAGAAGGGAAATTTGTTCTAGATGACATCCAGAAGACAGGTGAAAAAGAAGGTGAAATTTGGAACTTTTTAGTCATATATCTTCATGATAAATATCATGATAGGTAAATGCAGTTTTACCTTTTCAAGTAGAGTGTTTGTAGTTCATATTAATATGATAGTTGCAATTTGATCATTGGAATGAATTCTGCATTCATTGCCACGAGGCAAATGACCGTTTTCAGAAAGAAATTTGAGAATGAGAATTAAAAATGCCCGTTTATTATGAACATTCAAGAAAATTTCCTCGAATTCAGAGATGATTTTGATGACTATAATATACGAATAACTAACTGCACAATCAAAGCTTTTCTATTTTTCCTCTACTTATACTTTTTATGAGAGAGTTATTGTCTTCTATTATTAGTTCATCATTATAAATTAAGCTCTGTTTACTACTGAACTTTGATGGAGTAAAATCGTCGCAGTGAATTGCATTTACCAACATTTTCGATAGCTCCTCGTCCAACGGGAAACTAAAAGCATGAACTTTTGAACCACCCACATAATTCCCCCGACAAAAGGGAACACAACGCTTGAAAGGCATTGTTATTTCGCCGATCACAACACAGAATATTACACAAAACAGTAATTTTTCCGCCAATTATTTTGATGAATAAACAACAAAAGAATTCGGGACCGTTTCAAAAACATACGTGAATCACCGATGAATTAACCCGAACTGACGCGTTAGTCGACAAGCGATAAAATAAAACACTGGCCTCTCTTGGTGACGTCACGAGCTGTTTACGTCAGAGTCTGCTGGCCTTGTTGTATTGGTGGTAACGGGGAAAGACACTTTCCGCATAAGTAACGGGGAAAGACACTTTCCGCATAAGTAAGGAACAATATTTTTTTCTACAAGCATAGGAAATTGATTGATTTGTTCAATCAAATATTCCTACAAATAGGAACAACTAACAATAGTGATATATTCTCTATCTTCTAATAATTAGTGATATAGCAATTGTGTGTACTGTTTGAAGCATTATGTGGGTAAGCTTATCGCGGAAGCCAGTATGCCCATGGTGTTTGACTTCATTGGCAATAACTCATCTGCAGCTGGAAGTTTTTCATCACAATTCCACTGAATTAAAAATGACAGTAGCGCTCTGTCAGTCACTCTGAGAATTACACTAACTAACTTGTGTTTTGATTGACATGACAACAATTGTTTGCCAAATCAGATCAATAAAAGGCTATAGGGGGATTTATATAACAATCAATTATTATTTTTCAATATTTCTTCATTTTCAGAATAAGTAGTGTAATTTTCATATTGTGTCATCCAACGCTCATATTTTGTTGGAATATTATATGAATGTTTTTTCCGCACTAGTGAGAAAAAAATTCCCGCACTAGTGAGAAAAAATTTCCCGCACTAGTGTGAGAAAACTTTTCCCGCACTACTGCGTGAAAATGGTACTTCTCAAACGCGTGCGGGTAGAGGGTGAATCACGCACGGTTGCAGAAAAATGAATTATTGGCATCCAATCCAATTACTCCACTGTGTCGTTAGGGACCTTAGTTAATTTTTGCACCACTTCTCATGCTTTTTTCATGTAAATAATGAGTCATTTGGCGATACGTCGAATAATTGGTGACGTCACATTCGTTATTGGTCAGATAATCTTCCATTCCCACTCATCAAGCAAGGTTGTCAAGTCACCAATTATAATCAAGTTATCAAAAAGATGTTAGGGTTCTGTCGTTGAATAAAACAAATAGAAGGAGGAAGCCATGATTATTACAATTCATTTTTGACCTGCATGTCCAAATATTTCTTACACCCAATAACAAAATATGTATATGTCGGAGACTTGGCAACATTGTGCTGAATGCTGAGAAGGGACAAGACAACGCCCACAATTCGTGCGCCTTGTTTTCACATTCACCGGTTGAAATGTCGTCTAGTGTTAAGTAATATAATTATTATTTACACATATTTATTATAAGCAATAAGCCACAACACATGAAATACACATTCTGGGACAATTGATTTTTCATAGCTAATAATGAATATTACCAATACATGATTGAGAATTAATAAATTATTGAATAACTAATATTTCTGAAGTTCCCAATCATCCTGAATATCCAAATTTTGATGGAAGAATCATAATCACCGACTCCGAAAACCCCCAGATACCAATTTCAAATAGAATCGGTCCTTAATTAAAAAACTTGTCCGCCATATTGGATCCGCGATTTCGGATTTCCCAATTTTGACAGAGTAATCATAATCTCCGACTTCTAAAACCCCCAGATACTAATTTTTAATAGAATTGGACCATAAATACAAAACTCGTCCGCCATATTGAATTCGCCATCTTGAATTTTTAAATTTTGATGGAAGAATTATAATCTACGACGCCGAAAACCATCAGATACCAATTTTGAATAAAATCAGCTCACAAAACACGTCCGCCATATTGTATCGCCATCTACAATTATGAATTATTTGAATAATAGATTACGACCGATTCTCAGACCTACCGATTATGGAAAAAAAATTCATAAGAATCGGCCAAGGCGTTTCGGAGGAGTGAAGGCGACAAACACCATGACAAGGACAGGAGAATTTTATACAGGGTGAGTCATAACTATTGGGACATGAGGGTGGATTGTTTGGACCAAAATATGGTGATAGGACCAAATATGCCTTAATAAAATATTGCTGTGGAAAAAGATACAGGGCGTTCCAACCGAGAAAGTATTGACTATTTGACTATGAAATCCTACCAAAATGTTTTCATTGACAAAAAATGTAAACAGAACAATTATCTGATAGACTTTGTACTGTTCAAATGCGTTATTCTCGAAAACGGATGAAAATATCCTGTTCAAACAAGAGTACCAATATTACAAAGAAATAATGTTTGTCATATTTTCAAATCAGAATCACAAAAAAGTTTCGTCAAAAAAGTTACCAGACGATTTCATGATGAGAAATCGTGGCGCCCCCTATAGCAAACTGTAGAATAATACATTGAATAATATTCCCTGTATAAAATTATGACTGCTGATTTTGATGTCAATACATTAATATTCAGTGAAATAAGTAGCAAAAACGAAAAGAAAAAATTCAACTTAAATCCCTGCATCTTTTTCCACAGTAATATTTTATTAATGCATATTTGGTCCCATTGCTACATTTTGGTCCAAATAATCTTGCCCTTAGTCTATGTTGCAATAGTTATGACTCACCCTGTATATGAGATTATTTTATTGAATGTAACTTATAGAATAACAAAAAATATATATTTGATTGAACATTACAAAGAAAAATAAACCACTTTAATTCAATTTACTTTTTGAAGATTTCTTTCTTATTTTTATTTTGAATTCAGTTATACTCCCACAATTTTTTAAATAATGTGGTGATTCATTGAATTTTGAAAGTGCTTCATGAGTAAATCTCTTTTGGCCAATTACAGAGTTTGCAGAATCAAGATGAAACAAGTTATGTTGTCTTGTATTATTGTTTATTGGTTATGGAGAAAATAGCTTTCAGTCAGAAGTAAAATTCTGGTATGAGGAAGTTGATTACAAACAATAATAGTAGAATAACATAAGGTAAAAACAAAACATCTGAAAAAATCTAAAAATCGATCAAATCATATGATAGCAACAGGGATCAATCAGTAGATTGGAAAGTATCAATGTTATCTATTTCAGAATGAAATCATGTTTTTTAATGCAATTTGAAATTTTTGAATATTTCTGCAATTTTTCATACTATATGGTAATTTATTGAATTCAACTAGAGCAGCATGGGAAAAATTTTTTTGGGCAAGTATAGAAGTAACAGAATCATAATGAAATTAGTTCAATCTGGTGTGATGAGTATGAATTTCTCAGTTTCTTATCAAAACAAGATTGGATTTCAAATTTTCATTTATGATATTGAGAATATGAAACTTTTAGAGCATTTGTTTTATACAATTCATTCAATGAAAACTTTGTTGTCATTGCATACAATTCATTTGTTGGGGTATCAAATGAGAGGCAATACAATACTCTCAGAGATTTCTTAGCAGATGTGATTGGGAATTTCTGAATTTCTAGTAAATATAAAATTAGATTTCATCATTTCAATTATAATAAGATAGGATAATTTGATTTCATAATGTTCCTCCAAAGAAAATGTGTTAGTCATTGAATACAGTTGAGTTGTTGAAGTGTCAAAAGGTAGACTATACAGTACTTCCATAACTTTTTTGAGGACAGCAGATTTTATTGAAATTGTTTTTAGAACAGGATCCCCATTATTAAATATTTGATTCCTCTGAGAATATGTGATTATAAAAATATATTAGCTATTTTGGGATTCAAATTGGGATATCTTCTCAAGGCCCCAATAATGGAAGACATTTTTTTATTGGATCATCAATATGATTATCCCACCTCCATTTATTATAAATCCAAATGCCAAGATATTTCATATTTTGTTTCAATTGTTCATTGTTTGTTTTTATATTCAATTCAATAATTTCTTCATTTTTTCAAACACTGAAGATCTTAACTAAAATATCAAAAAATATTGAACATAATATAAAAACAATAAGAATATACCAATATGACTGACATACTCTATAGGAGGTAATAAAATGGATAATACAAGGGATAGTATAATAGGTGATAATAGTATTGTGATGTCAAGTTGTTCCTTGTGGAGTGAATTTCAAATGAGTGTGGTTGACAGGTAGTTATATCAATTATTGCCATATATTTAGTTGACTAAACTTTATTAATTACCTTCCTCTGTTGAAACTTTTACTCAATTCAGGGTCTATCTCTCTGTTTAAGGGAATTGTGACTTCATAGTTCTTGTTCTCTACCCCACCAGTGCCTTTGAAGTAAACAGAGTCCTTTGTAAACCTGAACAAGTAAAATGAATTAGTACTTTCTGCAGTAATATGACTATTCAAATATGAAGCATTCTCTAATGAATAAATCTACTCAAATTGGATGGAATGGGTTCTTTTGACAAAAATGGTAAGTTGGGTTGGGATTGTTGGGAAGTCTTGAGCAAGGGAGAAACCTCTGGAGACTATTTACACAAACACCTCTAGTACTAGTACTTACTTGACTTCTGGATCTTTTACATCTTCCAAATTTATTGTTAAAAGGACTACACTGGATCTTTGGGCCCACATTACTGGGGGTGGGAGTCTGGAAAAGTGAGGTTAGCAATGAAACAAAAAAATTAGGGTTTGAAGTCATGAAAATTGAATGCGATACCGTAACATATGAAGAAAACATGATAAAATCCAATTGGATTCAACAAGAAACGCGGTGAGAATATTCTAGAATCGATTACAAGTCTAGCAAACAACATGGCCGTTGCAGCAAAACAAAACCCTCAATAAAAACGTAGTTTCCAAACTTACAACAAATACTACTTTTCTTGAAAGATCAAAAACACCTAGTTATTGCGTGTTACTTACGGCTGATCAGTCATGTTGTTAATTAGTTATTTTTTTAACAAAAAATTGGAAGTCAACCAGAGTTCACCAACAAATCACCGGGACAATAATGATTGAAGTGAAGTTAGCTTCTTGTTTCCTGTTCTGTCTTTTTACAGGTTTGTCAGCCGACCGATCGATAAGAGCAAATGCCCTAAATAGTTTTCGAATTATGGCGCGCAATCCAGTAAAATACAAGCACATACAAAATAACAATTTACTGGAAAAAATAATGACACTTTGCTTCAGATAACTGTCAAATTAATTGCCCACAAGAAAAATAGCCCTGGCTTACTGCGATTAATTTCCTCTGATAAGAAAGTTTGTAACAAATGTTTGTAACCATAGAAACATATTGGCCTCTTTATCTTAGCCCTTTCCAAAATGTAAGAAGAATTGGAGAAGTTCCTCATCAATCTCATCATTGAGAGTGAAAAAAATTTTCAAGTCTTTCTATTTACTTTCATCATTATCTTGAGGTTTTCTACCTCGATAAAACAGGCCACAGCCTTTAGGGCTATCCGGCTCCGGCAACATTAGATATTTTGCCGTCATTGTTCCTGTAGTGCCAGTTGGTGAGACTGAAAATGTTATCCTGTTTATCAATCTTGAATTCGAGCACTCCTAGTGTACACCGACGAACTGCACTATTGAACAGATCCTCGATCACTTGACAATCTTGACATTTCAGTTCAGATTTTCATCGAGAGATGGCGGTTTGAGCGGCAACCGTCAAGGTTGGTAGAACTGAATATAATTTGTATAGGAAGGTTGCCTCGATCGATAGTGCGGCAAGGGGGGAAACGGTCACTCGTGACGTCACAGGCAGTAAGATGACAAGTTGTCAACCTTAAGGCCAAATGTCATGAAATGTTTACCAAATAGAGTGTACAAACTTTTTGATCTGCTCAGCATATTTATATTAATTTATAGTATATAATTATTATATTATTATAAAATATGGATATTCACATATACTTCTGTAAAATACCTTCAATCTTCGAAATGAGAAGGCAATTTTGGATGGATGGAACAGAGAGGAATACCTTAGGAATACCTATCTGAAATTTTGTTCCAGGGGCTAATAACCAGGTCGTGGTACCAGGTATGTGTGTTTTGCGGTAAGGAGCATAATTATGGAGCTAGTGATTACTTATACATTGATTATGAACCTACGCATCCTATAAATATCCTGCAAATCAGATAAAGTGAACAAGAAACTACAGAAAATATAAGAATAATCAACTGATGATCCAGAAGTAGTAGCAGTGGACCAATATTCGTACACATCAGATCACTCATTTTATCAATATAACTCTGTATTCTGAAGAATTAAAAAACTTCCCTAGATACCTATAGAAAACACAAGAGAAAATAGTGTTTCATTGTCTGATTATATTGTAGAGTCAAAAACAGATCAATTGATCGAAGTGTATATGAGCATAAAAAAATAACAAAATATGATTCTGTTCATAATAACAAAATAATAAAAAATAACAAACTATTATTAACCTATAGTAAAGGATAGTTCAAGGAATCTCTCAAATAAACATAGCTCCTCTTCATTGGGTAACGTCCTCTTGCTCAAATATCTCAACTTGAAAACACGTGTGATATCTTCTGATGTCCATTTCACCCGTTCAGCAAGAATCTCAACATTCACAACTGGTCTGGTTCTGATCATTTTTCCAAACTTCCATAATTATGGTGTTTTTCTTGTTGTATTTGGTATTATTGATGGGATTCCTACCTTGAGTTTTCTTCTCTTTGGTGTATGATTTAGCAATTCTGCTTGTGTCGTTCAAAATCCTCGGCATCGAAATAGGCAGAACATATTCGCCAAGTTTTGGTATTAAATGAATTGAAATCAGGTCCACAAAATTGAATCCATTTCTCACGAATAAACTCATCTTGTGGAAATTAATGGAAACACAAACTAAATTCACTAGTCTCATTACACTTGTACGAATTTTAACAAGAAGTGACCGAACAAATTATCATTTTCACATTTTTAAGTTCAAAATGGTTCAAATATTCGAAAATACTGACAACTGTCAACTCAATACATGCGCCGGCCAATCGCCGGCGTACATATCCTACACGAAGTGTACGGGAGTGCTACACTTTTCGTGCAAAAGAAAGGGCCTATTACGTCATGAGTTACTCAAGGTTACTCGCGGGGTGCGATCGAGGCAACCTTCCTCTATAAAATAGTCATCAGTTCTACCAACCTTGGCAACCGTCAAGGTAGTTTTTTTGAATTGAAAATCAAATAGAAATTATGTGATTATCCTAAAAATAAGAGCTTCTGAGTTCAGTGGTGAAATGAAAATTCCACAAGAAGAACTCTGATAAGATATTCAGCCGTTTCTGACACGTTAAGTCACAACTTTCGTAGTATTCCACTTGATTATGGAGCGATTTTCAAGATTTTTTCTTGAAATGAAGAGGGCAGCGTCCATTTTTCAAAATCCAAGGCTTACTAGATCACATTCAGAGGCTGAAAAATCCAGAATCCATATTAGCGATTTTTTTTTTAACAAAACCGGCGTACCTAGTTTCATGGAAAAATGTACCTATACTACAATAACGTATACAGCGTGTCTCCTTTCAGAACGGCCCCTCCTCTATCCCAGATACAGCAAAGCATCATATTCTATGAATATTCTGACACAACCTATTTATTATATTCTCTAGCTGCAATGCTGATTATCCCACTAATTTAGTGTTGTCATATATAAGGTTTCAGGTTCTTAAAAATTCAATCACAAGATAGTAGGTTTGCATCTCCACCGGTGCAAGCTTTTGTTAATTTCCTTCCTTCTCCTTCAATATACTAGAATATTTGTATCATATTGGTGGGAATATTCTGAGAATATTATTCGAATATTCTCGAAGAATATCCAAATTTGGACCAGAATGAATATAACCATCAATTAAGATGGCTACAAAGCCAAGCTAATAGCCATATCTTATACCATCGAATTAATCAGTTTTTCGAAGATATTCAATTTATAAATGAAACTTAAAATAAAGTACTTTGGTACATTGGATAACAGTAAGGTAACACAAAAGCGCCGGAGCCGTCGCAATATATGATCGACCAGTAATATATCGCGACGGCTCCGAAATATTCATAGAAATAATCGAAAAGTATCCGTAAACAGGATTCGAATACCGGGATTCGAATACAGGATTTGTATATAACCGAATACCAAATACACAAATGTATTCGAATAGTATTCGAATACCAGCCAAATGTATTCTGAATAGGATTCAGAATACTGGATATTCGAATACTACGACACAAGTCTGGTGCCAGATGAAACTCCGTCGACCACTATACATGGAGAGACCTGTTTGAGAGAAAACTAGCTAGCAGAGATCATAGCTGGGGAGGCAAGCCAGAAGGTGGAAGCTTGGCATTTTGAATGTCAAGTTCAGATGTAGACGTAATTTGAAACAGAAATATTTTGTAAGATATCAGCACTTGCGGTTTTATCGTATGTAGCACGAGATTCACAACATACTAACCCAGCGAGCACAAAAACATCTCAGAGATGTTAAAAGTACGAGATTTTGAGACATTGAACCTCCACTGCGATGTTCTGTTCACACATGAATAGAACTATTATAGAACAGCCAATGTCCGCCGCAGGCGGCAATTATCGAGATGTCCTTGATAGGGGAAAGTTACCTATGATGGCATGTTTCCTATGATGGCATACTATCGATATTTCTAACGCATTTGAATTTGGCGCTCAAATGACCCGTTTGTCAGATGGTCGTTACTGATCTATCGATGTCTACGAACACTCATACGCGTCGGATAGTTCAACAAATATTTGTGGATATAAAAAAATTTCGGTAAGTCTCGAAGTTATTTTCAAGCAGTAATGAATTCGATGTCATGTTCTTAATAGACTTTATTCGAGAACACCCATTCAGTGCATGCTTTTGATGAATGTTCTTGATTTGGTACTGTGTTTATTTTGAGGTTAATTTGTAACCAAAAAATTATTTCGATTTTTTTAAGTTGAAGTGTGGACTTTTCCTATGGCGGCATACGATAGTCGTTCCTTTGATGGCATGGTATGTATGGTATCCAAATCAAGAGAATTGTGGATTTCATGCCAGATGTGCAAATCCTGGTGCCATATCGAATGTGCCGGAGTCGAAAAACGAAGAAAGCAATTCGTCTGCGAACTCTGCCTATGAAATATTTGTCATCTGATGACTGTTTCGAAAATGCTACTTTCTGATTTATTCCTAAGTTTATGTGTTTGTAAGAACTGTCCCATTATTTTGAATACATCAATCTTTCCATAATAAATCACTTATTTCAATTCAAGAATAGGTTAACCTCAGAAGACCTCATGGATTGAAGGTATGCCATCATAGGAGGATACCTGCCTATGATGGCACATTGACGTCATTCTCCTTTAAATTTTTTTCTCAAAAAATTTCAAAATGTATGAAGAATGCTATGAGTTCTGATCAATTATGAAGTCATTGTGTATTCAAATTACACACAGATCATCTCCCAAACTTATTAATAACGTGTCAATGTTGATGTAAAGTTAAGTATGCCATCATAGGTAACTTTCCCCTATGTCACAAAACTACCTTCTCCCTAGTTCTTTTTAAAGCCTTTTCATGGACACAACAAAACGCGCGTCTTGCGCACATTAAATCGCTGTAAAAAAACCATTTTCGAGGTACTTTTCTGAAGCCTTTTGTCAAAATGAACTTTTGCATTAGGATTCCATTTCCCTTGAATGAAAAAATGCATTAAGAATACAAACTAAATAAGTCTTCTAACACAATAAACTTCACCAAATTCCTTTCTGTTCGTTGATGCACCAGCTTGATGTAAGCGTGACACGCTGCAAACGCGAATGCCAATTGCGAACAAGAAGAACAAAATCGAAAACAAATCAGAATTCATCGTATTGTGACGTAAGCATGAGACGTTGTGATGGGGCAAACAAAGAAAGGGCACAAAAGAACAAAAACAATACTTTCAATATCCTTCTAAGACCTCTTTGGGAAGTGCATATTATGCCTCAAAGAAACATCCTC